AAAAAAAAAAAAAAAAAAAAAAAAAAAAAAAAAAAAACATAAAAAAAAAAAAAAAAAAAAAAAAAAAAAAAAAAAAAAAAAAAAACTCCGTTTAAATTTTATTTGTCTTAACAAAAGTAATTAAAGTAAAAAGTAAATAAAACTGTTATGCATGTTGAGAAACTAATTTTTCAAAAAAAAAAAAAAAAAAGAAAAGAAAAGAAAAGAAAGGAGCTTTATTAATAATAATTTGTAATTTTTTTTGGAATTTTAAATTCACAATTGAGTACTGCATGTTTAAAAATAAACCCGGTCTTTTTTTTTCCTAATAAAAATTAGTATTTCAAAATAAACAAAGTTCCCACACGTATCAAAAGTCACTGGCATAATGCGATGACGATCATTTTTTTTAAATTGAATTTCGTAGAATTGCCTTTATTTACAAAGGGTTATTTTTGCTCCAATTTTTTCCAATAACTCCCTTTTTAATGAGAATGTTATGTAATATATATTAAAATTTTATTCAAATCAATAAGACAATCTCGATGGTATAAAAAAAAGGATTTAATCTAAAATTTTAATGTATTTAAAACGATTAAATGCTGATTAAAAAATTTAAAAAATATATGACTCATGACTTTGCCTTATTTTACTAAAAAAAAAAGTAATTTGAACTAAAAAGTTCCGTTAATTTTTAAGTGCCCGGTGATAGAAAAAAGAAAAGTAAACAATTTAAAATTCAAGTTTCAAATCACTTTGCCTTGCTAATCCTTTTTGAGGTTCATTGAGGCAAAAAGATGTCAAACAGATTTTTAAATAATTATTACATTATTTCGTATATGACCCTTTTTGAAAAAAAGATATGGGTTGGACCTTTTTTTTTTTTATTATTTAAAGATTTACTTTTTGTTTATTATCAAATCAGATAAGTCAAAACAAATATTACAAATTCTTTCTCTCCGTTTATCGGATTCTCCATACAACCCTTGAATGATCTTCCAATCACTTGCCATTTTAATGTCTGATGGAATTGTGATCACAACAATCAATTAGGTAACAAATAAATGTGATTTATTTAATTTACAAATATTGTACAAAAAAGTATTGCATAATCAAATAAGTATTGTCCATTCATTTGAAAATGATTTATTTTGTTACTTCATGAATAGCTTCAGCCAAATATTTTACATTATGTGAGGAGATGCCGGCAATTGAAATCCGTCCGTCCTTTGTTAAATATACGTGGAAATCGTTGGTGAGACGTTCAACCTATTTTTGAAATATTTATTGTTATTTGTTTCTTAGGCGAGTTCGACATATTTGGAATGTCAACCATTCAGATGATTTTTACCTGTTTGGGTTTCAACCCCGTGTAACAAAACATGCCAATCTGATCTGTGATATGGTTCCAATTATGTTTGGATTCAAAATCTTGTACCAAATGCTTTTTGAGCTTGTCCCGCATCGTGATAATTCGATCAGCCATGGTTTTGACTTCGCCCAACCTATCAGGAATCACACGTGATTAGTGTCATACGACACGTGATATGCCAAATCAGAAAACGAAACTCACCATTCCTTTTTCAATTCGGGGTTACTTAGTACGTAGCTTGCGATCCTTGACCCGTTTACCGGAGGGTTCGAGTACATTGGTCGAATTAAAATCTTTAACTGTGAATCTATCGCTGCCTTCTCTTTTGGATTGTCGGAGATGATTGAAAAGGAACCAACACGTTCGGCGTAAAGTCCCATATTCTTGGCAAATGACTGTGATAAACAAAGTCGATGTCCATCAGAGACAAACTTTCGAATCGCATAGGCGTCACGATCTGTATCACCCGAGGCAAATCCTTGGTAGGCCATATCAAAGAAAGTGAAATGGTTACGTTCCTACGTATTGACGTACTGACGCGTTAACCCCTTGAAAAATCGAGTACCTTTGAATTACAAAAGAAATATTTATACCTTAAAAATTTTAGAAAGCTGATCCCACTGTTGTGGCGTTGGATCAACTCCGGTAGGATTATGCGCGCAGGCGTGTAATAAAAAGATGGAATTTTTGGGGGCATTCTGATCAATGATTTTTTTTTTCTTTTAGTAAAAAAAAAGACATACGACTAAATGACTCATATATCATTCCAAAATGATTTACCTGGATATCTTCAACGAAACCATTGAAATCTAAACCATTGGTCAATTTATCATAATATCTGTATTGTCCAACTTCCAATCCGGAATCTCTGAATACGGCGTGATGATTTCCCCATGTTGGGGTCGGTACAAATATTTTTTTATTGTGTTGATAGAATCGATTTAAAAAGGTACCCCCGATCCGGAGCGCTCCGGTACCAGAAATTGACTGTGTAACAGCTATCTACGGTTACACGGCATCAATCATTTCATTATTAGGATACAAAAACTTTAAAAAGGATTGTTCATCGATTTTATAAACTTACCCTTCCTTCCCCCAACGGTTCCGAATCTTTACCGTAAGCCAAGAGCGCGGCTTCTTTGGTAAAAGATGCAAGACCGGTGATTGGAAGGTATTCTTTGTCAAGCTTATCTTTAAGGATCATTTCTTCCGCCTGTCATCAGTGTATTTAATCCGTTTAATTTATTTATTTTTTTTTTTTTCAAAAAAAAAAATAAAGGAAAATTTTTTCATTTATTTGTGTAAAGGAAAAATCATTTCTATTTTTGGATTTGAGTTTTATTTCGTCATTTTCTCACGAACCTTTCTAACCGCATTCAATACACACGGTTTACCTTTATCGTCTCTGTAAGCGCCAACACCCAAGTTCATCTTTTTCGGGTGCTGGTCTTTTTTAAAAGCATCCGTAACGCCAAGAATGGCATCGGGCGGTCCTTTAACGTTTTTAATGTTTGTTGATCAAAAGATAAATCATTTGGAACATGAAGAAAAAATAATTAATGAATGAAAAAATTAAATGTATCCATTGCTCTGATGAAATTTTTAGTAAATGTTATTTCTTTTTTTGAATAACTTTACCTTGAGGAACATGCGCCCAACTAGTTAGAAATGCTCGAAAGGGTACTACCGACTTCACAGACAATCGTGTGGTGCGTGAGGATAACATTTTATTTGAAAATAAAAAAAAAAAAAAGTAAAAAAAAAAAAAAAAAAAAATTTTTTTTTTTTTTGAACTATTTATAGATAAAAATAATCGATAATCATATGATAATAAACTGATGTGATCGATTTCCCAATCTAGACGATCTTCATATAATATAGATACTTATCACATCAGATAATCTTTAAAGAATCTGATTATAAATGGGAAAATTTATCATTTCAATTTGAATTCGAGAGATGATGTGATCATAAATCTAAAAAAAAAAGGAAGGGGAAAAAAGAATATTGTTAATAAAAAATGGGCAATTCATGAGTTCGTTGATGATTAATCACGTGAAACGCCATGTCGAGAAACATTCGTGGTATTCGTTACACTGCGCGTTATTTAAGCAGCCAGTTTTTGCTTACGTGATTTGCTTATAAATTTTTATAAAATGGTTTGGTCCATATCACAGAAAATGATAAGAAAGGTTAGTCCCCGCCAATTAAACCACATTCAAAGAAATAAGCATAACAGTGGATGTATTATAAATAATAATAATAATAAATAAAGCCACTCCAAAATTTCAAAGAGAAATGTGTGTATATAATTTAATCGGTTACTTTGTGTGACCTCAATTGTGCTATTTCTCATTCAATATGTTTGATTACTTGAACCTGATTTAAAATCATAAGATCATAAGATCATTCATTTTTTTTTAAGTTACAATGACAATCAATTTAATTCTATATCTTATTTTCTAACGGAGTTTTTATTCTGGGGTATGTCGAAACAACTTTTTTCATTATTCTTTTGCGATAAATTTCGGTGGGAATTTGACGATATTGTTCACGAATCCTTTTATGAGAAAAAAATTACATTTACGATAAAAATATCTCACCTCGTTTTAAGTGCAAGAGTGCGGGCGAAGATCCGCAGTAATGTACAAATTGAGAAATATAAACTTACATTTAGAAAATTCGTCTTAAGATTTTTTTCTTATAAAACTATTTTGGGCAAATCTTTGAAGGCTATAAGACTATTCGGATCATAATTTGACGCGAATCAGAAACTAAACGAATTTAGGGAGATTATAATTTCTCAATTGGATTTGATTTATGATTTTATAGATATTTATTTTTTAAAAAAAAAAAAAATCAAGTATTTCCTATTTCATTACATGCAATTTGAATTTTATTCATTAAATTCTGGTGTTAATTAACACTAGTAAAATACCTTCGCCCGCACCTAAAGATCAAAACATCGATATCTTTTCGCGATATATTTTTACTTGATAATTTTGATTTTTTTAAGGCCGTCAAACACAATATTTTATTATATGAATGCGTAAAAAAAAGAGAATCAAGTATAATGAATTTTATTTATTAATTCGCCCACTTTTCACTTTCCAATTATAGGATTTTCCCATTTGTTGGTGATCTTTTAAACCGTCAAGACCTTCGCTAATGACATGGATCATTCCCAATAAGCTCAACCAGTTCTATAAATTTCCCTAATATAGGGGAGGCTTTGCATCCTAACAGAATATATGTTGTACTGATCAACCAACGAAGGATATAATGAGATGGTATTAATTGAAATTTTGACGATATAGATTCTTCTTAAGGTCTGGCGCAATCACATTAAGTTTCTAATTTTTTACAAAATTTAATCGATCAGATTGCAAATACCATAGAAAAAAAATATGACCAAATTGAGTTTCGAGAATGATTTGATATTATTAAAGACATCAACAATTAAAGTTAAAAACAGAATCTTTACTGTAAATTAAATTAATGGTGGAGTTTGCGTCTGCAATTTAAATTTGATAAAACAATTAAAAAAATTTTTGATCATAATTACATTAATGAATCTTTAATTAGAAGTATTTACTCTTAAGGAATAATGTTGCACTTTACCTGTCTAGAGATCTGGTAGTATTATCTCTTAGACCTTAAATGACGACTTCCTTTCTACTCTTTCCTCAGCAGTCTCCTCCTTTTCGAGTTCTAAGGAATAAGATCACATACATGAAAATGTATTAACGACTTTGCTATTTAACTCTCATAATATCAAATTCTTTCATAACTAACTTTTTAATAGTTCTTCAAAAGCTTTTTCTTTTGTTGACTTTTCAGGTTCAACCTTTTCATTCGATATGCTATTGGTATCTTGGTTATTATCCGGCTGCTCTTCCTGTTGATTAGACTTAAAATCTTTAATCTTTGCCAATATGCTCTCTCGCTTTTCATTCGGATCCTTGGCTGGTTTCTTCATGATATTTAAACCAAAAGATAACCCTGAATTATTTGTCAAAAATTCTGGAGATATATCTTCAGAATCTTTTGTATTCTTTGTATCTTGTTTGGATGAATTTGTTCGGTTCGGTCCCTTTCTCTTTGAATTGAGACTATAGAAGAAAAATATTTGAAACTTTGATATTAAAATTCAAATCTTCAGTTGTAAAGTGCGAATATATTTTAGCAATTACCCTTTGGATTTTTTATCTTCAAATACAGTAATGTATTCAACCTTTGGTGGCTGTTCAGTTTCTTCTTGATCGTCTGTTATTCTACGTTTCTTTATAAATGCCTTATTTCCTACGATCTTTGTTTTGCTTGATTGAAAGGACATTGAAAAACCACGTTTTGTTTTGTCCTCTTCTGAAGGTTTAGGTGAATCAGGTGATTCAATAGAATTTTTTTGTGACATTGTTAATCAATCTATTCAACTTTGAAAGGGTGAGTTCAACGTTCTACTACTATTAGTATTCATCGATTTGGGGTTGTGTCACGTTCAAAAAAATACACATATGTCCGAAATTTAAATTTAAACCGTAGATTTTGACAAGTTCTTTTAATCGTCAATTATATATACATTTATTATTTTTTTTTTTTCTTTTCTTTTTTTTTTTTTTTTTTTACAAAATGGAAAGCCTCTTAGAACAGCAAAGAAAAGCTCACGAAGAAATTGAACGTTTGGAGCAAGCTATCGTAGATCAGTTCATGAAAGATCCAAAATCTGTTGGTTTGCAAATTTTTTAAAAAATTTCTATTCCGAGTTACCTTTGGATTTATTAATAGTTTTTGCTAACTTTTGTATTATAATTTTTGCTTGAAAAATACATAGCAGCATAAAGAAAGGTTGACACGCGAGCATAGGGTTAGCGATTTCCTTGACAGAATTAGTTCCAGAAGTAAATTCCTATACGAGTTATACGACGACGGTGACGGGTAATTAAAAGTATTCTTCTAGGCATTATAGCCCATGTACCTTTTTAATTAGTAGTGTATCATGATTTTTTTCTATTCTGTAGAGCACGAAAGGCTGAAATCGATGCTTTATCTGGTACTTCAGAATTTAGTGAATTTTATGGTAGATTGAAAGCAATTAAAGATTATCACAGAAGATACCCTAATGAAACTGTTGAACCATTGGAATTGGAATTTATTAATCAGTCAAAACAAAATGGTGATGATGATGGTAAATGAATGATAAATAAATATATATTTATTATCTCAAGTTTATTCAAAAAAAGAATTGAATTGTATTTACTTTATTCAATTTTTAGAACTCGATAAGCTATTTTCGGGTGAAGAAGGAAGTGGTCGTTTCTTAGATTTACATGCCCTTCATGAGCGATATGTAAACCTAAAAAATGTTAAAAAAACCGATTATTTAACTTATTTAACTGAATTTGATAATTTTTCGGAATATCCAAAAGAGCATAAATATGGAGAATATCTCAAGTAAATTCAATACAATATATTATGTTTTACACAATTTTTTTTTTTGTTTTTCAAATGATGAAATTATTTCACAGTTGACAATACGTTCATTAGGTACTTGCAAGAATTGAAAAATTACCTGGAAAGTTTCTTCAAAAGAGTTAAACCACTTTCCAACTTGGATGATATAAGAATTGATGCAGAGAGGTCATTCAATGAGAAATGGGCTCAAGGAAATTTTCCTGGATGGGAAAGACAAATTGGTGCAGATGATGGTTCTATTGACTTATTCTGTGTAGCATGTAGGTATTTAAATCCTATTTAGATACAATCCAAGTTCAATTCTTACAACATTAATCTTTCCTTTATGATTTTAAAAAGGTCGAAAATCTTATTCAAAAAAGACCGTATATGACGCTCATTTGAAAAGTAAAAAACATATAAAATCCGCAAATTCAATGATGGAGAAAGGGATCACATCGATTGACCCAGAAACGCGTGAAAAGTTAAAAATGGAAGTAGATGAAGGAAAAGATAAACGTGAAAAGGAAATTGCATTTACTGAAGCATTGATTCAAAAATATGCCGAAATTTTAGGTTCCCAACGTGAAGATACTAAAGCAAATGTGGAAAGAAAAAGAGCCTTAACTGATCGAGAACGACGAGTAAGTAAAAAAAATATATGTAAATATAATAAAATTTATTATGAAAACGACTATATAACTCATTTCTTTATTATCAAATTAGATGGAATTAGAGGCAGAAGAAGTGGATGATGTGGAATCCGAATCAGAAGATGAAGATAAAATTTATAATCCACTTAAATTACCCCTCGGTTGGGATGGTAAACCAATTCCATATTGGCTTTATAAGTTACACGGCCTTGGTGTCGAATACCCGTGTGAAATATGTGGTAATTATGTTTATATGGGAAGGAAAGCGTTCGATAGACATTTTCAGGAATGGAGACACGCCCATGGAATGAGATGTTTGGGAATACCCAACACGCGTCATTTTCACGAAATTACATTAATTGAAGATGCTTATGCTTGTATGTGTCTCTTCTCAAAATTTATTGTATTTTCCACTATGTCAATAGCTTCTTAACTCTTCATTATTTATCTTATTTAGTATGGGAAAAACTCAAGAGCACAGGTAAAACGGATGAATTTAAAGCAGATACAATGGAAGAATTTGAGGATCAAGATGGAAATGTATTCAATAAAAAGACTTATGATGACTTAAAGAGACAAGGATTATTATAATAAATTTCTTTTATTATGATGTGAAAAGTAAAATTTTCCATTTTCTCTAATACAACGAAATAAAGTTACATTTTCATACAAAACTTGGTTAAAATTTAATCATCATCACTTAAAGTTATTATTGTACGATCATTTCCACTTCCAGTTAGTCTTAATATTCCTTCTTGTTCTAATGAATGAATCATGGTCTCAAATTGTTTTTCGTCAATTTTCTAAATGAATAAAATAAAATATTTAATAAAGATAGAACCTTGTAAATAAATTTTTTATCAATAATGCAAAACATAAACCACATACCACATCAGATTGTTCATTAAATTCTTCCAAGGCTTTCTTCCAATTAATGTTTGTTACTTTCGTACGGTCAATCATCTTTTGGAATTCATCACGCATAACTGTTAACAACCGTCTCTCATAACTTCCATATCCCGTAGTGATCAAATCCAAGTCGATTCTTCCAGTTTCGGGATCCAAAGCTGAAAGTTTTATGGCTTCCCTAAGAAGTCGTTCGGCTTCTCTAACATCAGCAATTTCAACAGTATTTGACAACCTGTAGAGAATATTACATTTATTTTAGCCTTCACAATTTAATTTACAACTTTTCAAATGAGATTATACGTCACCTCATTCGAGCGTATGCTTCGGCTAATCGAATCATGGATTCTAGTTGCCTGGTAGTGGCTGTAACTATTTTTTCCGAAGAACGTGGGTCTTGTCCTAATCTTCGTAGCGATACGTAAGCGTCAACCAGTGCTTTATGCGCTTCATCACTTCCAATGATCGGATTATAATGAATACGAGCATATTGAATATATTTCGCCAAAATTTCAATAGGCTAAGGTATTAAAAATACACAACTAAAGGTTAATGGAATTCGAAAATATCTTAAGATTTTTCTTTACTCACCAAAATATTAACACCAGCTGAGAAAGGAGTATCTTCAGCATATAAAGATACTAAATGTGTTGCAAGTTCCCTATCGGCACGCCTGTCAATCTTATCTAGCACAAGATAAATAAGGTCAAACCTACAAAATATATAAATTAGTTATCATCAACTTTGGAATATTGAAAGATTTTGCCTAAACCTTATAATGATGTATTACCTAGACATCAAAGTCGGTGGTAGGTCAATGTTTCTCACTATAGATTTTTTTGGATCATATTTTGAATCGATAGGATTAGCAGAAGCAAGAATGGAAGTTCGTGCATTAAGAGTTGTAATGATTCCAGCTTTCGCAACTGACACAGTTTGTTGTTCCTTTATATTAGAAAAGATTCCGAAATTAAATATAATTTGATGAATATTTTTTTTGAAGAAAAAAACACGTTAAAATACTGACCATGACTTCATGAAGAACGGCTCGTGTCCCATCCGACATCTTATCAAACTCGTCGATGCAACATATACCACCATCGCTTAAAACCAATGCACCACTATAAATTTATAAAGATATAAGGATTAAGCTTTAAATTATTCGAATATATGTTACATAATTATTCTTTATGCACCTTTCCAAAACCATTTGTTTCGTATCCGGATCTCTTGTTACATATGCTGTTAAACCTACAGCGGAAGAACCTTTACCGGAAGTGTAAATACCACGTGGTACAATTTTATGTACATACTTTTTATATATTGAAATAATTTAGGTTGGTTTTTTTTTTTTAAAAAAAAAATTGTATTTATTGTTAAATTAATTTATATTTCAAATAAATAAATTAAATTCAAATTGGATTTAGCTAAAAAAAAAAGAGAGAGAGAGAGAGAGAGAGAGAGAGAGAGAGAAAGAAATTTACCTGAAGCATTTGTGATTTACTAGTACCGGGATCACCGACCAAAAGAATATTTATGTCCCCTCTGAAATGAGGGGAACCAGACTTCTTAAATTGTTTATTAGTACCACCAAATAATTGTAAAAGAATACCCTTTTTTACATCATCCATTCCGAAAATACTAGGAGCTAATTTAAAAGGTACATAAATGCATTAATTAATTAAAAACGTCTAACGCCATTTTGAATTGAATATTTTACCTAAAGAATGTGCCAGTGTTTCATATAAAAGAGGATTCTTTGACAAATCATCAAAATATTGTTTGTCGGCTTCAGAAAACTTTGGTTGCTTTCGTTTTGGTCCACTACCAAACATTAATAATTGATCTGGCCCATCCTCCATTTCCTCATCTTCATTTTCAAGTCCATGATAGCTAATGGTTATATAAATTTCGATTAATTCATGATCATAAATAATAATAAGACTTTTAAATTTTAAGCCCAAATTACTTTTGTGTAAAATCATTGTCATCATTATTACGAATTCTTTCGGATCTCCTAATATGAACGACATCAAGATATGTCTTAAACAACGATTTAATGGTGCGTTGTCGATTATTGACACGAATTGGAGATGACCGATATATGGCAGTTAACTCAATCCTATGAAATTATAGACATTAAAATAAAATAAAATATTAAGAATGACTATAATAAAATTAAGAAGTATAAACTTACTTATCACCAGGACGTGCAATGTCAACCAAATCGTCATATAAACATAAAGAAACAGTATGTGGAGTCTGACCGTCAGGAATACAATCTAAAAACAAGGGAATAGTTTAATAATTTCAATATGATCCTTCTCAAAAAGACAGAAATTATATTCACCTGGAGTTTCCTGTAACCGACATACTTGCTTATCCTTGAAAACAGATCTGTTGT